ATATGAACAATACTATTGGTGATGAATATGAATTTTTTCCAACAGATGAACAATAATATTACGGTAGATGAACAGTGGTACTGAGAAACTAATATAAGAATAATCTTTTTATCATAATGGCATTTGCGTAACTAAATCAAAAAGAGAAGGACCTTAATGGCTTAAAAAAAGTTTCTCTTTGTTACTTTTCTAATTTTTAAAATAATATTACCATATATCTAATAAACTAGTCAACTATGTATATTGACCTCAATCACTCTTTCTGAATTAGGAAAAATAGTTATAAAAAATAGCATAACTGTATGTATTTCCCACTTGTAGACGATTCTTTACCAATTTTGTGTGGTGAGAAAAATAATACTCATACCATTGTCTATGTCTGGTGTTGAAGAGATTTTCTAATTATCTATTAAAATAAATAAATTTAATTTACGAAAGAAAAATTAGGAAAAAAATCTATAAATATGTTCATTTTAGTTAAACTATGGAAACTGATGAAGAATTCAACAAAACCAGGATTATTTCTAGTAATGATGAAACTTCTTACAAATAAGAAAGAGTACAAGTACATGTAATCTCAGCTTACAATGAACTTGCTCACTACTTAGCGAATGATCCTTTTTCCAACAAATATCTTCTAAACCCTTTGATCTGTTACTATTAACCCCAGAAGCAACAGCATGTTTGCAGCCAAGTGAGAATTCTGGATTATACCCATACCCATAACCCTAGAAGTAACAACACGTTAAAGTTGAGGTTCCATGCATTTTCATTGCTGGATGCTTGTGAACGCATACCAAGATTTGGTGGCTGATGCATGTTGAAAGAAACTGGCCTGTGTTGACCCAGTGGCGGTGGCATCATGGAAGACGGCCAGACTGGATGAGGAGCTACTGCTTCTCTGTATTGATGCGCAATACGTGCCAGAGTATTCCTCATCCAGTCTGGCCATCTCCCATGATGCCACCGCCACAGAGTCAACATAAGCCATAAGAGTTTATCTAATTTATTATCTAAATCCCAAAATCGGTAATAAATTCATGTTTGAAGTAGAAGAAACCACTAAAAACAAATAAACCAATCTAAAATTTTTTTTCTTTCTTAATATAATTTGGATGTTAAACCGAAACCTAAACTAATCCCAAAAACATTTGAAAAGCCAACTACTTTTTGCAATTTAAACGTCAACATAAAAAAATAGCTAGAAAGTGGGAATCTAGAAAGACAGAGGAGTAGGTACCATGATATTGAGGTAAGGGTGATTAGAGAACAGTGTTAGCTCTAAGTTTTATGTCTATGATGGTTTATATAAGATTTCAAATTGCTAGCCTGATGTGGGGAAGTCTGGTTTCGGAGTGTATAAGTTTAAAGATTAGGGTTTCTACATCACTTCATATTTATACCGACAATAGATGATTCTAGAGCTAAGACAGATGGACTTGACAGCTCATTACAGAAGGGATTGAGGAACAGGTTCATGGTACTCCAACTCGAGAAGAAATCTGATGCATGAACAGGATCTTTTAATTTGGAATTGTATTCCAGGTAACTTTTGTGCTTGTCACTGCTAGCTGTTCTAGGCGATAGCTTTTTTTTCCATTTCTGATTAATTTATGAACTTACCATTCTAGGCGAAGTGCTTGGAAACTGGAGAGTCAGTAGCCGTTAAGAAGGCTTTGCAAGATCGGCGCTACAAAAATTGTGAATTGCAATTAATGCGACTAATGGACCACCTTAATGTGGTTTCTTTGAAGCATTGTTTCTTCAATGATTGATTCCTTGAGATTTCACATTGTTCTTGTCTTAGTTAAGTTGCTTTGATTTTAGCTGATTTCCTTTTTATTTATTTTATGTGATGTAGAGAAAGCTATTCAAAGAGTTAGTTGCTTTTTTCGTGTTGCTTCATTTTGTATATACTTTGGTTGATAAGTCAGCTAATTTGTTTGGTTTTTAGGTTGTTGCAGGAGCAGGCAAAAAAAAAATGGAAGCCATTAACTTTTCAATGACAGAAGCAAATACAAATCGTTTCTCGTCGAGCATACTCCACTGTTTGGATGATAGGTGGTTTTGCTCTAATAGTGTACATGGGTCATCTCTACTGAAAAGTGTTGATAACCTCACAATCCCTTTAACAAATAACTGGTACAGCCAATTTTGAAGATTAATATTGTTACGGAGTCAGATATACAAATTATAATTACAACATAGTGCCTAGTGATAACACAACTTTTAATTTGGGTAACATCTGATAGCATTCGCAGATTTTTGTAAAAAAAAAAAAGTTAAATCCATTTCTGAATGAGAAATTGCAATTAGTAGGAACAGAAGAATCGTAAATTAGGCGCGTGATCTCAAACGTTTTTCTACAATGTTTTGATAAAGAAATTTACAAAACATCCCTTTACCTTTTTTTCTACAAGCATACTCCACTGTTTGGATGATAGGTGGTTTTGCTCTAATAGTGTACCTGGGTCATCTCTACATTACAGCCATGGTGGTTGTCATCCAGATATTCATGGCACGAGAACTTTTCAATTTGCTAAGAAAACCTTATGAAGATAAACAGCTCCCTGGGTTTAGATTACTCAATTGGTAATCCACACTTGCTCCCTTCTGCTCAGCCTTCCAAGTTTCTTGATCTTGTGCTTCTGTGTGTAATGAGCTGGTCTAACGGTTTTGAGTATTTTCTGTGTCTTTGATGCAGGCATTTCTTTTTCACGGTAATGCTTTTTGTATATGGCCGAATACTTAGCCAACGGTTAGTCAACACCGTGACGCCATAAAAAGTCCTGTATCGACTGGTCACCAGCCTCATCAAATACCACATGGCAATCTGTTACTCCTTGTATATCTCCGGTTAGTTGTCTCATGAACTTTTGGGGTTACACGTTACTGTGAGGAGCAATATTGATCTTTGTCTGACTCTTTTTTTTTTTGCTTACACAGTCTCACTCATATTTTTTTTTGGGCTTTGGAATTGTAGGTTTTGTGTGGTTTATTCTGACGCTGAAAAAGAAGATGTACAAGTATCAGTTTAGCCAATATGCATGGACACATATGATCTTAATTGTGATGTTCACTCAATCCTCATTCACCCTTGCCAACATCTTTGAAGGAATCTTTTGGTAATTTACAGAGTAACAGATGTCACCTGTTTCTTGGTTTCTCATTGAGTTATTTTTCTAATAATCTTTGAGTCTACGTTGTTAATATGCTGATATCTTGTTCAGGTTTCTTCTTCCTGCATCACTGATCGTCATCAATGACATATTTGCATGCATCTGTGGTTTCTTCTTTGGAAGAACACCGTTGATCAAGTTATCACCAAAGAAAACATGGGAGGGTTTCATTGGAGCTTCAATCACCACAATGATTTCTGCATTCCTGGTAAGCTAATAAGTACAATTTTATGTGAGTTGATAATGGTTAGATTAATCTTGCTTCTTTATGCAGCTTGCGCATGTAATGGGTCGTTTCTTGTGGCTGACATGTCCCAGAGAGGTACTAGCTAGTTGCAGTCATGTCCTGCCTTCGTTTCTTACATGAGCTGTAGTAAGACTTACTGACTATTTATGTTATTCGACTGCAATGAGTACAGGATCTATCAACGGGTTGGCTTCACTGTGATCCTGGTCCATTGTTCAAGCAAGAGACACATGCTTTACCAGGATGGATTTCTGATTAGGTAAGGCTAGAATTCCGTAACACTACACAATTTATACGAGAACCTTTAATTGCTTCTATGAACGAAAAGGTGTTTTACTTTGCAGTTCCCTTGGAAAGAAATTTCTATTCTACCTGTTCAGTGGCATGCTCTATGTCTCGGCTTGTTCGCATCTATAATAGCGCCTTTTGGTGGTTTCTTTGCCAGTGGTTTCAAAAGAGCTTTCAAAGTCAAGGTGGGTTTCAGATGATATTTAGTCATAAAATCCGCAATAATCTATGCAACATTAATTCACTGTTACATTCCTCCAACATATTAGGACTTTGGTGATAGTATTCCCGGGCATGGCGGAATCACAGACAGAATGGATTGTCAGGTACATATGAGTGCATTGACTTCAATACATTATCATGTGCCTCCTTGAAATCTTTTCCAACATCATTGTATCAGATATGATATCTCTTTCCGGTTTGTAGATGGTGAGGGCTGTTTTTGCGTATATATATATCATCAATCGTTTGTCGTACCCCAAAGCCTCTCTGTGGATAAGCTCTTAGACTAGGTACGAAGTTTACTGTAAAAGAAGGAAGACAATACATTGAGTAATATGTCTTATTTGGCTTTTGATGAGTATTGCTTATTACAGATAATCACAAGCCTAACATTGGAAGAACAACAAGCTCTATTCATGAAGCTTGGCCAAATGTTGCAGGAAAAGGTTATTGGATCGTAGATCATCACAACCCTTCATTGTGTCTACCATATTATACGCTGCATGTGGTATAAGTTTGTTAAGTTTGTTGTGTGTTCCAGCTTGGTTTAGCCGCTGTATAGTAAAAAATGATACGCCTTAGCGAAAGAAAAAAGAGCTCACTATAGCTTTCATTTCTCACCCAACCTTCAGAAATTAGTGTTTAGAAGCTAATTCTTTTAAATGAAAATCAAGATTCTAGACCTTGAATCAATGCGTATGGACCCTGACCTGTCAACAAAAGCAGACCAAACACAACCCAAAGGATAGTGTTAATTTGTTCAGGAAAAGAATAAGTTATAGTTGAGGAAGAAGAATGTGGTCAAATTGAAATGAGGGAAAAAGAAATAGAAACAGGAGCGTTTTAGCAAGTTAAAAAAAAATCAATTCCTTCTTAAGATCATAATCCCCAGTAACTAATACAAGACAAAAAGAAAAAAAAATCTAGACTGTTTCTAGAGAGTTTCACTTCAAAAAATAAAATAAAATAAAATAAGCAACGTTGAGATTTCTAACAAAACGATGAACAAAAAACTATATTTATGGTCTTCTTCCTCTGGGCATTTTCTTCCCCCACTTCTCGTCTCATTGTGCTTTTGGCTTCTCCATCTTGACATAAGGAAGAACACCCAGAAAGTATTTTACCTTTGGGTTCCATCCACGTTGCTGAGCTCGACAGAACATCAAGAATGTGTTTGCACAGTAAGAGTTGAAACTCATGAAGACATGCCACAGAGCATGTCCCTGAGGATTCACAGGCCACTGGGATATCGTCTTGCAGAAAACACGGTCACAGAACCAGCAAATACTTCCCACTAGGATCGTAGCAACATACCATTTCGCAATCTGTTTGGCTGCGGTGTCCTCTGTGTGAATGTAGTACTTGTACATCTGAGGGATGCAAAGAAGGCAAAGAATCACGTAGTGGACCTTGAAACCGATGCCAAACCTGAGGAAAGCGTGGAAAACGGCAAAGGCAGCACCATAGAGGAAGAGAAAAGTTACGTGAGCCCAATGCTCGTCTTCTAAACGGACGACCTCTACCACCGTTGTTCAACTTCAAACAAGAGGTACGTTAGTCCACTTTCTTTAACCAACCATACTTAATCCAAACCATAACTGATGTTATGTTCAAACAGCTTCTTAATCTGGTATCTCTTTCTCTCGGTTTGAATGTTCAAACAGTTCTCTGGAGCTTCCCCAAAGCTTATAAACAGGCTAGTACCAGAGCACGTTAGGCGACAGATGAATAGAAACAACTTTGAAACCAAGATTGGGTAGAAAAGCCCATCAAGCTTTTGCTTGGGGCTGTAGAATTTTAATTAATTTAGGAGCCATTTTATATAAATATGAGTTGGTTAAGATGGTGGTCTGTGAAAAATGTGTTTATTTGCTATTTGTATTTCTCATATTTTATTTTTAATCAACATTATATTATAGAATTAGCTTTCCTTAAACAATTTAAAACAGAACAAAGGAAACAAAAACTATAAGTAAATATGTATATCATAAATGTATTTTAGTTATAACAGTGATATATCTTAACTATAAGTAACGATTTATATCTCAAAAAATGATAATTGGCATTCACTTTTGTCAGAAACAATTTATTTACTGGAATCATATATTCATATCTCTAATTAGACCTTGAAGATTCTAGAATATAAGTTTATTTGGTGGTATTTTATAGAAAATGAAAGAGGCGTCTTAAGGAAAAAAATCATGGTAGATACACACACAACTGCGTGTATATACACATACACAAGGCCTTCACATCCCCAGATATCTCTATCTCACGATGGTCTGACCCGACGGGTGTGTCTCACGCACTTGCACGATGTCCCACATTCAAACACCACAGACATTCCTCTCAATAAATTCCCTTTATCATCATAAGCAAGCTCACCACCGTTTTTCCTTGCACAAAGACAATCTTCACTGCAGGATAAACTACGTACAGTCGCAGCCAGCCTTGTTGATATCTTCTTGAGCGTAAATCATAAATGGGAATACAGATTTCGAGGAACACTCATAGTCTAAGGGTTCCTGATCATCATCTATGTCATTGTACATATACACTGGGACATTATCTTTATTGGAAGAAAGGTCAAAGCTTATATGGAGGCATAACCATCCACAGCGTACTTTTAAGTGTTTCCGTAAACCTCATTCTTTGCACTGCCCATCTCGGTTGCGGAAACACTTAAAAAGTACGCCGTCGATGGTTTGGCCTGCTGGGCATATAAGCTTTGACCTTTCTTTCCAATAAGGAGAATATCCCGGTGTATCTGTAAAATGACATAGATGATATCAGGAACCCTTATGCTATGTGTACTCCTCGAAATCTGTCTTCTCATTTATGATCTACGCAAACTAGACTTCCCCACATCAGGCCAGCAATTTGAAATCTTATATAAAACCTTAGAGCTAACACTGTGGTGACTAGATTTCCCCACATCAGATTGCTGGCCTGATGTCAATCGCAAGAAATGAGGTCAGAGATCTTTAGGCTCTGATACTATGTAATGACTAATGAATGGAAAAAGTGTATGTGTATTATTGATTCACAAAAGTAGGGTATTTATACAAGTATGTAAAGTCTAAACTTAATATGAGTATCTAGAATAGATTACACAAAATCTAGTAGAAGTTATTTCCTTATCTCTATATGTGGAAGTCTGGTTTCAGAGTGGAAAATTGGGATTATGTGTACTTGTACTCTTTCTTATTTGTAATAAGTTTCATCATTACTAGAAAGAATCCTGATTTTGTTAAATTCTTCATCAGTTTCCATAGTTTTAATTCTTGTCAACATATATAGATTTTTTTCCTAATTTTTCTTCCGTAAATTATGTTTATGCACTGTATTTCAATCAAGTTGTATATCTGATTCAGTAACAATATTAGTCTCCAAAATTAGCTGTACCAGTTCTGGTTAAGGGATTACGAGGTTATCAACATTTTTCAGTATTCACTTCACTGCCAATATCAAGTAATGAGTATTAATTACGAGATTAGCGTTCTGATTGGAGCGTTAAGGCCTACGCGCTCTATTCGCGCGTGGATCCTCCTTGTATGTTTGAACGAATTCTGAAGTTAGACATGCAGTAGAAAATTTACGATTAACTTCATCTTCACTAAAAAAGAGCAAATGGAGACGAAAACAATCTATCCATATGCCAGAATCGATCATTCCGGCCTGAATATCAACCAGAACAGATTGCAATAACGACTTTGTGTCCATATGCTACTTTTTTCTTTTTTATTGCGCAGATAAGAAAATATGCACTGATAAGTTACTGTTAATGGATAAAACTTTCAGTTCTCACGAAAACAATTGCAGAAGAACAAATTAGCCTCATGTCTTATTTGCCTTGAGGCATGTAAATAGTTTAAGATGATTTGGTGACTTCATGTATAGCATTCGCAAGGTATCCCACATTCTCTGTCGTAACACCAGCCATACTGCAACCAAACATTATCAAGAGCCTCAATGATTTTTGCTAACACTTGAAATGCATCAAAATCAAGAAAAATGGACCAAGTGTTAGTACCTGATACGGCCATTTTGGGTCATGTAGATATGATATTCGCTTGTTAAGAGGTCAACCTGTTCTGGTGTTAGCCCACTGTAGCAGAACATTCCAATCTGTTTTCCCATATAGATATATGATTATGTAATTGTGTGAATCATATGAGAGAAGTGACATGATCATAACAAAAAAAGAAAACTTTTTTTTGATACCAAGTTTCAAATCTTCATGAGAGAGTACAATAAGTCTGAGCCATTTATTGCAGTCTCCACATATCTTGTTTTCATTCTAAAGAGCTTCAACACATACCAGAGGCCTAGAATAATAAAAAATAATTCAAAACCATGTATTAAATTGGACAAGAACACACCAAAAGTTTTCAAGAGTCGAAAATCAATATATGAAGTGAACGGTACTTTCAATGAACAATATATAGGTGAACGTCAAAAAGAAATCCAAATACAATAACGAGTTATAGTCTTTGTTAAGGGGAGGAAAAGATCAGTGAACAATAATAATTTCATATACTCTGAATGAAACTCAGGTTCAGGAAAGTCGTACCTGACTATCATTGCGGCCAAGAGAGCTAAAAGATCGAAAGAAGAGATTATCTCATGCAATACAATGGACTTTTATTTTTCAATGAAATGAAGAAAAACATTAACCATGAAACATTTCACCTAATGGTAACAAGAGGTAATTAAGGTGGCCTAGGACATGAGACTCTGCAAGCGTTAGACAGATAAAATTCCCCCTATGTTTCAAAACCCGCTTGGCCTGAGAAAAGAGGTACTTTATGATGTAATTCGAATTCGGAATCAAGCATTTAAAAAGCACAAAACTTGATCCTACAATATCACCCTATTGGAATGCAGATATTAAGAAGAAGCACGCACCTCTGATAAGTATTGATTTCCAAACTTCGTACCAACTTCCGGCTCCATCAAAGCATCAAGAGCACCTTTATCGAGAACCGTATCAAAAGATTCATCGCCCAACTGGGCAAGAGAAGCTTGTGTTAATGAGAGAGCACAACGAGAAGCCAAGAAGAAAAGAAAACAGAGCACAGAAGTTACAAATGGATGCAAAACCTGCATCTTTGTTATATCCATAACTCGCCGACGAACAGAGTTTCATGTTGTTATATCTTTGTTACAAACAGATTTCATGTTGTTTAATGTTCTTCTGTTCTTTAGGCACTTATAGTTTGGTTCTCCTTTTGGTGTCTGTTTTTGTTCATTTTCGTAATGAGAGTCATCTTCAAACTTAGGAAGACAAAAGAGACTCATGTCATTGGAAATTTCGAAAGGTAATGTCATGGTTCAATGCATTTATGATTCCATGAAAAGGTACTGTCATTATTGGAAATGATTCCAATTGGAAGTATATGTTTTAGGTCTAAGGGTTTCTCCTAATCTTTCTGGCCGTGAAAGGATTTTGCAAGACATGGACTGGTTCAACGCATAACCTGAGCTTATCACTTAGTTTGGGCCTTTTGAGAGTTTACTTGGATATTCAGTGAAGTCAGTAAGGCCCGAGTAGAATCTAAAGCCCTTGGTTGGCCCAGCTTCATATATCTATATATATATATATATATATCTATCTGAGGAACAGAAAACGGGTTTTTAGATCATCTGCAACGCGTGTTTTCAGAGGCATTTCTTCCAAATATTTGCGAATAAAAAAATGGGTCTGCATCAACTTTTGGCCAGTATCTTAATTAAGAACTCTTGTGCTATGTGGTCAAGTTTAATTGCTTTCATCCATTTTTAATATTAAAATATTGAATAAGAGATCAAAACTCAGTCTCTGCATTACAGATTGCAGATGCTCTCATTGCGACATGAAACAATGACGACGACGATGATCTCTCATCTTCCAAGGGATATGGCAGAAGAGATTTTTTCCAGGGTTCCCTTGAAGTCTATGAGAGCAGTTCGATTAACTTGCAAAAAGTGGGACACTTTATCCAAAAACCGGAGCTTTACAAAGATGCACGCTGCAATGGAAGGGAATCGGTTGATCGTGTTGATGGATTACAAGCTTTATTTGACGAGGAGCGCCGTCGTGAATGGTGATCCATATATAGAGCCTCAGGGTAAACTTACTTTTCTAAAGACGACCATTCGAAACAGGTCATCAAGATATCTCAAGTCTTTCACTGCGAGGGTTTGTTGTTATGCATCTTGAAAGACACTTCAAGGATTGTGGTTTGGAATCCGTATTTGGGGGCAAACAAGATGGATCGAACCTAGATGTTCTTACAGCGACAAACAAGAGTACAGCTACGCACCAAGAATAATAAATCTTTAGGTAGCCACAAAATCTTGAGGTTTATAGATGATGACTACTTGTGTC